AGTGAGTAATGTAAAACAGTGAACAAGGTACAAGAATCGATTTATACACTGCAAGAAAGAGATACTGACAATTGGAAATAATGTAGACTTGACGATACGGTTGTAAATACAAAAACTCAGATAAGGGAATACTCGCTAAAATTTAATATACAAATCACCAGGTCTGGATGACATGCATCTGAAGGTCTTCAGGGAATCAGTTAATGAACTTGCTGAACTACTGGCAATTATTTCTGAGAATTCATGCACAATCAGGTAGGCACCAAAGGACTGTGATGGGGGGAGGAAAAAAAAACAATGTTAATCTGAGAAAAGAAAGATTAAATGAAATTAACACACATAATATTTATGTTTGAATGCTATTAAAGCAAGACATCTGAAAAACAAAAAGCAACCCTCCCCCCAAAAAACAAACAAAAAAACCCCAACAACCCTGAAAGTACCTTTAGGGTAACAGAAGCCTGAAAACAAAACAGGATCACATTTAACAAGAACAAAAAGAACCAATTTCAATCGCCTCACAAAAAATGGTGGGCAAAAGATAAACCAATTTCTGCACAGGTTAATCTGTGTGGGAGTAACCTGAGGAGTCACAAGTTATTATGACCCTCCTTATCTGGTAAGCTGCCATTGTCCTTGCCTCTTGTGCATCAGTATTCTTTGCTCCAACATGGAGTCTTCACCAAGCCTGAGATTTCTGGGGCCAGATCCAGCCCTATGTGACTCCTTACACATACCATGGACAAGTGCTTCTGCAGGCATCCTACAGCACTCAGCATGAGCGCACTGGTGATGCCTGTGCTGCTCTTGTGGTGACCACAGTAACCAGGTGGCCATGGTGCCCATGTAGGTTCAGGCTCTACCTGTGGGGCTCTGGCCAGTATCTCACCCCAGTATCATCCCTCACCTCATCACACACTAGGGCTTCATGGTCTTGTGAGTAAGTGCTGTTGCACCTCTTGGAAAGAGGTGAGAGCACTTGAGAAGGTAACTAATACATAGTGATGCAAGGTGGAAAATATATCTATGGTGTCCCAGTGGGACTGGTATTATGGCTCAAGTCTTTTAAACATGGCCATTAGGGAGTGATCTAAGAAAATAATGAGACTGCTTATTATTTAACTGGATGAATTAAAAGATGACACACTGAATAGGAGATAAAGCAAAAGGAAGAGACAGAGAAAAAATAATAAAATTAATAAAGTAGAAGGGGTCTAAATGGGTAGAAAAAATGCCAAAGTGAAAAGAAATACGAAGTTTGGACTGACGACTGCAGAGGTGACTGTGTGTTGTGGCCAGGTGCACAGCGAGCACAGGCATGCAGCCATCATTGCTGTTTCTCCACTTTGCTCCCACCCAGGAAAGCTGTCCTTTGGTGGCACCGGGAAGGAGCACTGCCTGCCTGTGTGCTGCCACTGCCATCACTTGCTCTGGCGCAGCAGCAAGTCGGTCACTGTGGTCACCAGCTGTGCAGCACAAAGGTGCCCCCCTGCTGTTCCTGCCCACTGCTCGGCACAAAAACCTCCTCCCGTTGTGTTTAGAAGTGCACAGCACAATGGTGACTCCCCACGAGAATGACACGATGTGTGGGACAAAGGTTTCCCATGCTGCACAGGAGCAGAGAGTCCTCGAGGCACGGCTCTGTACTGAGGCACATCTGCAGAGAAAGGTTTCCAGGTTGAAAAGTTTCTCCACAGATATTAGCCACAACGCTGACCCAGGGTCTGATTCTTTAAGCAGCAGTTCAATACTTCAATACCACAGGCTTCAAAAAGCATTAAGGGTGCTCCATGCCTCAGGATTTACTCCTTGATGGAGGAGAGAGCCTGGCTGTTCTCCATGGAGCATCTCACATGGTGGAAAGCTTCCAGCTGGTGTTGATAGGAGTGGATCCTATGCCAGCTGCCACATCAGACCTTGTTCCCCATCACATTGCTCGCCTCTGTGCTTGTGGAGCCAAGCTTTGAAACACACTGGTGCAAAGAGCCTTATCAAAGCTCTCTCTGAATGTTTCAAAGGGTGAAAGGCAGCCTTCTGGGGCCATGTGCACAAACAGTAGCAATTTAAAACTTAGCAAGTGTGTTTTATTCATATTTACACAATGCGGAGAAGCAATGCCATTCATTCTCCTTTTACAAACAAATGAACAAATCAGCAGTCACATTCCCCTCTGACCCAGTGATGCAAATACCATTCAGAAGGATTTAATGGAAATTTATCTTTCTTTCTCCCATGATGCAGACACACACAAATTAAAGTCTTCATGTAAGACTTTATGCTCTTACATATACCATTCTGCAATAGTGTTACAGTGTGATTATACCATTCATATCTTCACGTGTATGTGAGAAAAAAAAAACATTCCTGCCTATGATGCTACTAAATGACTTCTATATCACAGTTATTTCTAAACAGGTATTTAACTTTTTAACCTTTGGCTGTGTGAGATGTTATCCAGAATGACAGGTTTAACTATTTTTAATTCATAAGGTTTCTTCATTTACTATTCTTGGAGAAGGATCCCTTGGATCTGTACAAAGTGGAGTGTGCTCTGTGGAAATTACCATGTCTGCTGAGTCTGTTTTGCTCTACTGAAGTAAACTTCCGGATCTCAAACCCCAAAACAGAAGACTCTCTCAGAGCATCATGAGTAAAGCCAAGGAAAAAGGAGACTTAATAAATGTCTTGTTTAAAGTCATTAAATGCTTCTGACAAGGAGCACAAGAGCATCAGGAAAAACATTGGAAAGGAGTCTATTAGCTCAAGATGCTCTGAGAGAGAACTGACGATCTTAGGAGCTTCTACATACGCTGTAGACCTCTGAATGGTGAAGAAAGGTAAAAGCTTGGGAAAAATTAAGAGAGAAGCGATAAACCAATTAATGAAATGGAAGCAGTGATTTCTGAGGGGATATTAAAACAAACAAACAAAACAAAAGAAAAAGAACAAAACTTCAGTATGTTTGGTTTGGCTTAGAAGTAATTGTCTGTGGAGCCATGAACATGATAACGATCTAGAAGTGTCTGGGTAGGGAAATTATTCTTTGGAGGAGCCAAGAGGGAAGAACTAGACAAAGCTGAAGAAATAAAAATACAGCTTATGAAGAGGGCTTAGACTCACAGTAAGCTTGTTTAGATGGAATACTCATACAAAGAAAATTGTGGGAAGCTGCTTGGCAAAGCTAGAGAATAGACTACACATACTAAGACATGTTATGCTAAGTTATTGTCTCCCATGACATGTCAGTGTTTATTTTTGTCGGCCATTTATTATCTCTAGTATCTTTAATGGAACAGCAGAAACAGAGCACTAAGAATCCCACTGATCCACGATGAAGATTACCTCTGAGCTTCTATATTTGCAGTGTTTTTTTTTTTTTTTCTCTTTTTCCCCCTTATTACAGCACACAACCTACACACAAGGAGCAAGCGGCTTGAAAAGGTAATAAACTTTGTTACATCCTTCTCTCAGCCCACATGTAAAAGATGCAAAAATACATACAAGAGCTGAGTGCAAGCAAGGTTTGTAATGCAAGAAAGAGATTGGAGGCTAACACATCATTGTGGCTCATATTTTCCACCACTCTTCATTAAATATTAAGGGCAGTCCCATGAGCATGGGTCATTTGTTTGCTCCTCTGAGTGCTAACTGGCTAAATAAGTGAAAGTTGTAAGGTCATTCGCATCTGAGCAGAGGTCACTGAAAGCCAAGAAATTTTCTGTTGAGTATGCATTATAAAAAGGAAAGAAAGAGTGCCGAACAGCTATGGAATCTTCCTAGTCAGAGCATGGTTCTGTGGCTGGGACAGAGATGTCATTTCCACCAGTGGAATGGTCAGACTGTAGGCAGCTGCAGTAATGCAAGTGGTATGCAAGTACATTAAAAAACAATGAATCAGAAAAAGGCAACAGCTAAAGTGGAGGCTATTAAAATGGCATTTCAAGAGACAGCAATGTCACAATCCCTGGTTTTAAAGGAGTACCAGGCAGCGGGCTGGCTGTGGGTTGCTCTGGGGAGACTGGTTCCACACAGCAAACCTGTTTACAGGTCCAAAATTTCTCCAAAATCTTTATAAAATGGGCAAGAGCACAGGCAAAAGGGCAAATGAAATTGCTGCAATCTGCCCTGCAGCCTGTGTGGCCACCAGAGACACCATGCTTGAATTGGCCCCAGGCCCCACAACCTGGGGTGGATGAGGACTAGGTGCCAGCACAGCTTCCACAGGGTTCAGCAATGGTGCTGGGACTAGGCCATTTGGCAGATGCAGGGAGGCAGTGGGCAGGACACTGGCTAGCAGTTCATGAGGTCTGCAGCAGACCTGTGTGCTCCAAGAGCCAGGACACAGGAAATGTCGATGAAAACTTGCTGCCAGTGAAATGACACAGATGACTGTCCCTTCAGCCCTACAGTTTTCCAGCCATCACTAGCTTGGTCAGACTGGCAACATGACTCCAAGCAACACTCTTGAACAATGCAGCTCTACGAGCAGTGAATGCTTGCATGAGATCCAAGACTCATCCTTGAGGAAAGGCTCCGATATCAGTACAGCGAAATTATAGGCTTCCAAAACACATGGTAAAGTGGTATTGCCCCCAGAGGTAAGCAGGTGGGGATTGAAATTACACCAACATTTACATTTATGGCTGTTTCTTCACACCTATTTTCATATCTATATCCATATCCAAACCTATACTTAAATCCATATCTATCTATTATCAATATATTTATATCTGTATCTACATCTCCAACATATCTGTATTATCTATACCTACATTCATTTTTGTATTAATATATTTACCTGTATTTACATATAAAAATAAAATTTCTGTCAAATGTGAAATGGAAAGTTCAGATGTCACCACAGGAAAATGTTTTTGAGCTGAGAAAGTACCTATAGAAGTTTTAGAATCTCATGACTCTCATCAAGAGTAGGTTAGGCAAGAGTTTCTTTCTCCATGAAATACCATGGGTGCAGGTGACACATTAAATAACTCCTTGCATTTTTTTCCATCAGTCCTGTTTTTTATTAGTCCGCAATTTTATCAGCTGTATCTAGACAACAGGTAGCACTGATTACATTTGCAAGGTATGTCACAATAACTCTGAGGAATTAGAATAACATACATCAGTGAGACAACTGAATTTCTGAATTTTTTATATTCTTTTTCTTCTATCATGATCTAGAAAAAGAATTATAAAATTGCATCAAAGAGCACAAAGTACTTAGCTTTTGAAAATCATCATCTTCTCAAGCAGGACAAAGGAAGATTATTTTATGAACAAAGGAAATTTTACCTGTTCAATATACCCCGTCCTTCCTGAGAACATAGATCCATGTGGCTTCTTCAGAGACCACTATTAAATGTGTATTTATGCTCTGAAACTTCCACAGGTTATAAATCTGAGAAATACTAATTTACATGACCAAACTTGACATACAGCAGTGCCATAAAAGAAGTCAGTGGCATCTTCTTACCCCGACACTTGCCAAGGGAATGTATAACATGGTTTCCAAGGCAGTGCTCACTGCTGCCATGCTTAAGCAGATCAAGATGGTGCAACCCAGACCAGTGGTAGCACCAGGCACTGATGGGCACACAACATTTGACTCATATATCATACTGTGACAGTAACTGCATTAAATTAATTAATGCCAAATGAAATACTTGAGAGGCAGATTTTAAAATGCAACTATTCCAAAATCCCACAGCTTTTCAGTGCTTCTGGTGCACATAAGGCACAGACTTGAAGTTACATTCCTTGCCTGCAAACTCTGCTAACATGGTAGAATGCCACTTATGCACTGGGCATGTGAAAAGACCAGCACTTCGAAAATAGCTAGTCTCCATGATGGTGTTTTATGATTATTTGCTCCTACATAGTAATTGTACCATCAAACATTCAGATGAGAATTAATTATTGGAAATAATTCAGAAAATGCTGATTTCATTTTCCTTCACTGAAGAATATCTCAGATTTTTAAAACCCACCAAGCAGATGAAATTATGTAAATCACCCAAGGAACAGCTGTTCCAGCAGCACGAGCACAAGCTTATCCAGCTTTGGTGCTCCCAAAATACAAGCAGCCCAGGCGATGCTGTAGAAACGGCAGTGCCTGCATCAGCAGCTGGGAAGGGCAGTACTTTAAAGTCCCATGTTATGTGATGGTGCATCTCATCTAAAAAAAAAAAAAAGGAAGAAGATCCTTAATCGCCAGCAGGATAAGCACAGACCTGCAATTGCAATACCACTGTTATAAAGGAAAACAGCTGAACGTAATTTTCTCGCCTTCCATGCGAGAACTGGCGTGGATGCCATGCATAGAAGTGAAGGAAGTCTTTCCAAGACTCTCGTTGATGCAACAAAAGGGCCTGCAGCAAAGACCCAGTGCTCTTATGATTTCACCAAGAATCTGAGTTCAAACGTCATAAGCCTGTAGTGAATAAATTAACTCCTGCACCACCCCTCCCTCAATTTCTGGAAGAACATGTTCATATTAAGGAACATTTCAAAGTGTTTTTTTTTTTTTTTTTTTTCCTGAAGTTTCTCCTTGGATTATAATCTCCTGTCGTACTTTTGTAGGCAAAGGATTGCAGTCGACACAAGCCCAGACTATTTTTAGAGGTACAGGAATAATGGTATTTTACTCTTTTGCTTTCTCCAGTCAAGTGCAGAAGCAGCTCACTCTTCTATTTCCTGCCACTAAAGCTCTCGCAGTCCCTTCTATCACTATAAAAAAGCCCTGCCTTTGAAACGATACCTAACGTAACCCATTCTAACCCAACTCAGCCCAGTCCCTTCATGGTGCCTTTGCCACCTCCCAGCTCCTGCCTAGACCTTCAGAATGTGGCTGCCCCAGCCCAGCCACAGGAAGAGCAATATGCCCTGGTCATCCTCCAGAGGTTAAGTGTGTAATGGTGAAGGAAAGGAAAGCCCCACCAACGCAGATGCCGCATCTGTGATTGTGTTGTACCTCTGAGGAAAGGCTGAGCAAAACTCATCCATCCTCCTGCTGGCTGCGGCGGCCAGAGGATAGGATTAGGGTAAACAAAAGGAAAGATGGGAGTGGGGCATCCACTCACTCTCCCACTAGACACCTGTCCCAGGTGCCATGAACTGCCAGAAAGGACTTAGCACCTTGTGTTGAGAAGTGAAATATAACAGTCTAAACCCAAGTGATCCTGAGGATCCCAAGTCAGCTGCTCACCACTCCCTAATGTGTTTAAACTCCACTGACACCTCGGGTGCCTGATCTTAAAGCTTGTGTCTTATTGCAGCACTGCTTCTGTACATGCTCAGAAACACCTCAAGTTTGACAGGGCAAATACCTTCACAGGTCTCAGGCAGATAAGCCACCCCATAATCCTCATAGGTACAATAAGCCTCAAGAGGGAGGAATGTCCTCTTTACTTCTTCCCAAATCTCTTCTCACTCCTTTTCCTCTATCTGAGACATCTATTAGCCTAAGAGGAATTTCTGAGTTTCTCTCCCTAAATTTATCTACCTTCTAGCTCTTTCCAAGACCTTGCCCACCACATACCACTTAATTCTTGTTGCTTCTCATCCACTCACCTAGCCTATCTCTCAGTTCCTCACATCCACCACAGTTCCTCCCTTCCTCTGACTCTTCTTCAAAGAGGTCTGACTCAGATCTTCTCAATCTTACTGTAAAGCAAAATCTGAGATCTGCTTTTGGCTGGTATTTAGAAAACCCAGTCATAGGCCACACTAACCATTCAAGTGTAATGGTGGGGCAGGAAAAAGAGGACACATTCACGAAAATACAGCAACCCTACTCTGAATGGTAGGGTGACTTAGTGGAAAGGCGAGATGCCTGTGTTTCATCACATAACAAATGCAGTTTAGAATTCAAGTTCTGGAGTCACTGACAGACTTTGGATATTCATTTGGATAAAATCTGAATTAAAAAAAGAAAAAACCTCTATAAGAAAACAACAGCTAAAAAAAAAAAAAGAAAAAGCAAAGGGAAGGAGACAGTGCCATTTCACCAATTAATTTACAGTGATACAGTGAGCATTAACCTTCTTACATTAATGTGATCCTTGCTGGTCACTGTGAATGAACATTCTTGAAACAGGCCAGGGACTGACCCCAGACTGTGAGATTTTATGGACAACGATCATCGTTGTGGGTCAAGTACAGCTGCGTTGCAATCATAAAATTAATAACCTCTATACCAGCAGCTTTACATGTGGTAGTCTCTGAAGAGTGCTATTTCTGTAACTCACAGCCTTTGGAGATGTTATTTATAATTTATATGCAATCTGAAGTGCAAAGATTTTTCTCTCCTGCAAGTCATGGTGATCAATACAGGTCTGCACCCATTACAGCCCAGCGAGGAGAAGTGTGTGGCTGGGACTGGCTCACAAAGGCAGCTCTGCTGAAGTACTCGCCCTTTCAGCCACCTTCAGAATTTGGGCTGGAAACGCAAATAAAGCAAAGGAATTCTTTGTAAGGGTGCCATCCCAGCTATTAGTGTTGCCAACTAAATTAATTACATATTTGCCTTAGAACTTCCCAGAAACTTCAATTTTCTGGCATGCTTTTCAGGAATTCCAGACTTTTACACCCTAATTTGTAACACACCAGGACTCAATGCTTGATACTCTGAAGTTTCCACATTGTGGAAACCTTCAATTTAAGACTAAGCACCAATTTGCAGAGGCTTTGCAGATGTGAATTACACTAAATTTAACGAAGCTGAGTAATATCACACTTCCCATGACATAACCTCAGCAGTGTCATCAGAGGGAGCTGCGCAGTGTAATGCGGCAGGGAGGGAAGCCAAAGGCAGTCATATCTCTGGTGAGACGAGTAGATTGGGTGTGAGCAGGGTGGGGTGACCCCTGCCAACGCCTGCCTGAGATCCTCTTCCTGGGGAGTCAGACGCATGAGTGTGTGTGAGAGATGTGTCTGCCACTGGCAGTGGGAAGAACTCACAGTCTGGGATGGACACGGGGGAAATGTTAAGTTAGTGATGGCAAGAGGGAGAAAAAAGCCTCAAAAATAAGACTTTCATTCTGTTTTTTCCAAGTGTTTCTGAGTTGTGGATGGAGAGGGCTCAACAGGGTGAAGGACAGATGTGGGTTGCTCCTGGAGGAACTGCATAGCATGTTCTGCCAGAAATCCTCAGGAGTTGCAAGACAGGACGGGACAGAAGTCAACCTCCAAATCAGGGTCTTTCTGCAAACCAAGTTTTAATCACCCAGCTGCAGAACTGAAAAGTTTCTGAGTACTTTCAACGTTTATCTCCATTTGGGAGATCAAATTTCTTCCAAGATGGGGACTGATTTGCTATCTCCACTGATATAAGAGAAAAAAAAAATACATCAAGCTCCAAAACTTGATGTTGCAGTCATTTCAATGCTAAGCAAACAACTTATGATTTCCCTGCCAGGCAAAGAAAAAAAAAAAAAAAGAGAGAAAACAACAAGGTTAATGACCTTGTTGCATTTCTAAATAAAGATTCTTGTTTCAAAATATTGGCCTGACCTAACAATTGGCCTTTCTGTCTTCCAACAGAACCCGTGCTGCTAAGTCAGGCTGCCAAATAATCAGAAAAAGCATGCAAGGAACTTCATGTCATGACAGGGATCTTCTGTCAGGCACTCCACGGGTTCTGAAGAAAACTTTAGTTTAGTCTCTCTCAGCTGGAACGATGGTAAACCGTGGGAGCTGGAGATGCAAAAGCAAGAAACTGCCAGGAAAGTGTGTTTGGAAGTGGAAGAGAGATGAAGTATTTAAATGAGTTTTGAAACTTGTATCAAATTATTTTTTTTCTTACATTGAAAATCTTAACTTTTTTTCAGAAAATTAAAACAAAATGAAAAGAAGTTGTCAGGGTAATTTCTCTCTGAAGAATCGCTGAACTGGAATGATGTCATCTTGCATTAAAATTATCAGTTATTGCCACAGTTGGCCTACAAGTATTATATTAAAAAAGCAGGAAGAAAATCACTTAAATACATTCAGGGAATTCTTTTGTTTGTGCCCCATGCATATCTTCTAATACTTATTGCTCCAACTTGGCTTGGTTTGCCTAAAACGCTGTAGGCTGTTTTTTTCAAAACAATTCTAAAACAACTGTTGATATATTAGGGAAAAAATGCATGGGGAAAAACAAGATTGAGGTGGGAGCTGAAGTTCTTCTAAATGAGAACAATATCAGCACGCACAAATGCACAGACAAGCACAGTTTGACAGTCACTGCTCATAAAAGATCCTGCAAGGAGTTAATATAAAAACTAAATCTCCTGTAGAGGGAAGTTGGAGGGGAGCTCATATACAAGCACTTAAGGAAAACTTGCACTGCGGCTGGAATACATGCAGTGTGTTCCCTGTTAGTCTAGGGATAAATGAAATGTTATAGCCACGATATATTGCTGCATTAAATTATGAAAACACTTTTTCAGTCTTTTGTGAAAAGAGAGAATCTATGACTAACTGAAAAGCAAAGAACTCTCAGTCAACACCATGCCCATCTGTTATGGCATGCTTTTCAGTTCCAGTACCACAATGACATGAATGTTTAGTATTTGTGCAGCTGTAACTGCATTATGCAGAAGCCTCATTGAGGCTTTGCTGTGCAAATACTCCACATCTTCAGATGCTTCAGTACTGCTTTGCCACTGGAAGACTGTGGCATTGCTTCAGTTGGGAAGAGAGGGCAAATCAAAGGGATAGACACTGTACATACAGGATTTGCTCCCACATGGGCTGCTTCATGAATCCAGGAAACCACCCCCTGCTTAGGAAACTTTGCCCCAGGTTTTGGTCTGTGCATTGGAGCATCTGTAAAGGGCAGGACAGTGAGGAGTGGGCCTGTGGGAGATTACTAGCCTTCTCTTCCTTCAGAGGGCTCACACAGCAAGGCAAACGCATCACTGCACCATGTTTCTGTGGGATGTGCCTATGGTATATCTCTCTAAGGCACTGCTGCTGGACTTGCGCACAGCACTGCCCGAGTTTGAATTCCAATGTGCATAGCAATACTTGGATTAAGTTTCACAGCAGAAGTGTTCCAGCAAAAAAAAAAAAAGAAAAGAAGAAAAAAGGAAAATAAGAATATAATAAATTTATGACAGGCATTCTTAGCAAATCAAATAGATACAACAGCTTTGGTTAGGGCTGGGAAGTGCTAAAGCCAAATGCATCCTC